CTCTTCAGTTATCGTAAGGAAAGTGATGCTCAGAGCAGTAATTAATTTGTCCACATTCACAAAGTAAATAACAGATAAAACCAAGACTCACAGCAGATCTGTCTGACTCTAAGCCTGAGCTCTTTGCCACCAGCACAGTCCCCAGAACATGAGAAGCACTGGATTAATGTGTGTTCTCTCCTCTTCTCCTTGCCTCCTCCAACTCTTCCCCGCAAACTCGGTGGATGGTAGTTTGCAGGAAGAAGATAAATGGCATCTTCAGTCTTTTGTGGTAGGAAGAGGCCCTTTGGACCCTGAACAGGGCAGGAGGTTTTGGCGCTCCCCTAAGACACCAACTAGCAAGGAAGTCACGTCATAGATTTGGGGCCAAGTTCAGCAAGTATTGCAGAAGATTTCTTGAATCTTCATTTCTTCTTATTTATTACCACTGCCTTTTTCCTCTCAGCATTTAGCAGTGAAACTTTTGAGAAGCTGCAGAGCATGGTAGAAAAGACAAACAGACATGGGTTCAAATCTTATTGCTGCATCTTATCAACTGTGTTACTTGAGGAAGTTGTTTAACTTTTCTGAGTTTCTTCTATAAAATGGGGAAAATAAAGCCTGGCAGCCTTATGGTCCTTACTGCTGATAGGATCTCTCCAGAGATAGAAGACAGGAGATGAACAATTCAGCCCTACTCTGATCCGTCTTGGTGGGTAGGGGAAGCCCAGCAGTTAGAGCCGATGGTGGCAGAGTGTGACAGGAATGGAAAGCAGGTAAGAGCGGACGGCCTGGCGGAGACAACGGGAAGGGAAGGGCCAAAGGCAAGCTGGCTCGGCAAGCTGTTCTCGGGGCCTGCTGGGCGCTCCCTGCTGGGGAGCCAGCATGTGGCTGCACTGCTGTAAGAAGCCCAGCGTTGGTATCACCTGCCCATTCTTTGTTTTTAATACCATAATTGAGAAGGTAATCTTTGCCCATGGTAAAATCAAACATCATTAAACGATATATAATAAAAAGTAAATCTCTTTTCCATGGTGTCCCCTATGCCCCCTCTCCAGAGGCAAACACTATTTTCCCATGTAGCCTAGAAATGTTTGATGCAATATAAACCTTTTTGTTTTTTTAACACAAATTGGAATATTGTATACACTGTTTTACACTTTGCTTTTTCAATCTAACATATAATAGCTAACATTATTGATTGCTCACTACGTATCATTGTTTTAAACATATCACATATATTAATTCTTTTAATCCTCACACACCCCTAAGAGAAATAGGTTTTATTTATTATCCCCACTTTATAGACAAGGAAACTAAGCCTCAGAAATTAAGTATCTCACCCAAAGTCAAATAGCTAGTAAGTGCTAAAGCCAAGATTTTCTTTAGATAGAATTCAGACACCATAAAATTCAGCATTTTAATGTACAATTCATTGGTTTTTGGTGTATTCACGAGGTTGTGTAATCATCACCATGATCTAATTTCAGAACATATTTATGACCCCAAAAAAAGAAACCCATACTCATCAGGAGACCCTCTCCGGTCCTCACTGCCCGGTCCTCTCTCCCCGTCGCCTCTGGAAACCTCAGATCTACCTTGTTTCTATGAATTTGCCTCTTCTGGGCATTTCCCATGCAGAGCAATGTGTCTGTCATGCTGCTTTGACTCTAAACATCTCACCAGGTGGCTCTTTGCTGTGTTTTCCTGAGTAAGGACAGTCCCCTCCCTCTGGTGAATTCTGATACCAGCTAAGATGGGTTTTTTTTTTTTTACGTCCTACCGTATTAGGAATAGAAAGAGACCTCAGTAACTTGATAAAGACATTAGCATAAAGAAACTTAGAGCACACTGGAACAGCAGAGATGTTTGGAGTAACAATAGGAGCAAGCAGAGTGGTCATTTCCACCTCCCTTTGAAGTTGTTCTGCACCCTCGTGTCCCTTACCTCCCTAGGCCTCAAAGGATTTCCCTTACTACTTGTTAGCTCCTTCGTTCATTTAGAAGGATTTAAAAAATATTTATCTAGCATTTTTAGATGTCTTATCATGGGCTTAGAGTGTCCCATTGACATTTTAAATGCATACACCCATGACCTAGCAATTCTACTGCTGATAATCTATCCTGTTGAAATGTTCATACATGGCCATTGTTACAGCATTAATCTATACTAGGAAAAGTTGAAGAAAACTTAATTTTTGGTAGATAAGTAAGTAAATTGTGAAATGTCCATGATATAAGTTCTCTATTGCTATTAAAAACAAGGAGATTTATACCTTCTAATATGAAAGAATGTCAGTCAACAATGTCTAAAATTAACAAATCAAGAGAATATTACAGGCGATGTATTTAGATACTGATAAGTGAAAAATTAATAGAATATTATGTATAGTATGATTCCATTCTTATTTTTGAAATATATTTTTGGTATAAAGTCAGTATGTGCATATATAAAGGTTTAGAAGGATACACAGAGAAAAATGTTAACAGAATTTGTTCCTAGGAAATGCAAGTGGCAATGAGGGAGACTTTTATCTTTTACTTCATACATTTCTCTATCATACGAATTTTTCACAATGAACATGAATTTATTTTGCAAAAAAAAAAGGGGGGGTTCTTACTTTCAGAGATAGCAGAGAAAAATGATGTCTAGATGTCAAGGTAAAGAACTTTTAAAAAAGAAGTATATTTGGCACAGAACAAGAGGATGGTCCCACCTTAGATGGTCCCGCCTAACGTATGTCCAGAGAGAGACACCAGTTTGAAAATCGTGTCCCAGACTTAATTGAAAGCTGAAGATGTTTAGGTTGGAGAAGGTGACTTAAGAGAACATCTGAGGGTTCTTGGAAACCATTATATAACACGTGGTTCTGGAGGAAGATGGGTTGGAATTACAGAGAATCAGATTCTCATCTAGGGCAAGAAAAAACTTCCTAGAGTCCGAGATGTCATTTTAAACCAGCTTTACCCTCTGGCTCTGCCGCAGAACATCTGCTGGTTGTTCCAGCTCTGGCTCTCAAACCGTCATTCCTCTTGCCAGATCTCTGATGCCAATCCTTCGTTTCAGCACCTACTCTGCTTTCTCCCTGCCCCCTGGATCTGATGTTCTAGAACTTCTCTCCTCTTGCAAATTTACCTGTCTTTGCCCAGCACTGTGGCTATGAGCCACCCCCTCAAACTATGCCCAGGTTCCTGTACCCAAAGCCCTTCCCTTGCCTCTCACCTGGAAGGAGAATCAGATGCTTACCAACAATGGAAGTAGATGTTTCAGAAGGTAGTGCGTTCCCTGTTTCCAAAGTTAGGGAAGCAAAAATGGACAATTACCTGTTGAGAATATTATTGAAAGGACTGTATCAGTTGGGATTCTTTGCTTACAAGTAACAAAATATGTCCCTGGCCAACTTGAGCAAAAACTGGAAGAATGTTGAGTAGCTGGGAAGTCTGAAAATTAGTCCAGGGACTAAGAGAAGAATCACAGCAGTTTTTAACCCTTGGATCGTCTCCCCAAGGTGACATCTCTAGATGGATAAATCCCCGTATGTTTTCAGTCTATATTTTACCACCACTCAAGGTTCAAAATTCAAGGAACAGGCGTTTTGATTGACCCAGCTTATTCCATGTGTTCTGGCCTCTAACTGGGAGAGAAAAACCTCTGGCAGAGCCTGTGAAGGGCTTTTTTTTGTCTTTCATTTAATCTAAAATCCCTTCAAGCCTGAATGCAGTAGAGGGCAGGTTAACTCCCCAAACACACAAGAATCAGGGGCTGTAAGGAAAGGAGAATGGAGACTGGGCAACCAAATGAACGACTCTCAGATAAATGTGGAATTAGATTAGTGGTTCCTAAATCCACTTTGGAATTTTCTAGACTTTGGAAAAAAAATTTTTTTTTTACTAAGTCCATAAAAGCAAAATGATTGCTAGCTACTATCCTCATTTCATAAAGAAATTTCATTACCCTATTAATATAAAAAAATAAAAAAGATAATTTCAGAATAAAAGAAAGTCCTTAAAGTGAATATATGTACTTTATGTTAGATTTATTACTTTTTTATTATTTTTAACAATAAAAAAAATTTATTATTTTTTCCTTGTTTCCCTCATTTCACTGAAGACCAGTGAACAGAGACTGTTCCCATTTGGAACTGGGGGTTTAGGAATCACTATACTAAGCGATCTATAGATCATATATGAACCCCAAGTGTCTGGGATCCCAGTGGGATCTTGTAGGGAGTGATTCTCAGCTGAGGGCAATTTTGCCCCCTTGGAGACATTTCTAATTGCCAAATAGGGAGTGTGGGGAGGATGGAGTTCTACTAGCATCTATCAGGATGCTGCTTAACAGCCTACTATGCGCAGGACAGCCCCCCACAGCAAAGAGTTATCTGGCCCAAAGTGTCAAAGTGCTTGGTTGGTTCATTTATTGTTTTTCTTTCTACTGTAATGCAAGCTCCAGGAGGGCTGGGATTTGTCGTATTCTTGGCTGCATCCCCAGCACCTAGAACAGTGTGTATATGCATGGTAGTCACTCAGTAAATATTCGCTGAATTAATCAGTAATATTTTGGTAACTATACTTCTAGTCTCATATCTATTTTTCTTTCTTTTACTGATTTACTTCATATGTATTATATATATATATATATATATATATTTTACATAAAATATATAATACTATCTACCCAATTTTGCATCTTTGTTTTTTTAATCTACTGTTACATCTGAAACAATTTTTTGGTACCAACTATTGGTAAATATTTTAATAGTGGCATACTATACTTTATGGTAGAGATATTGTTATCTTTTACTTGAACATTTAGGGCATTCTAATGTTTTGCTGTAGTAAATATCTGTGCAGCAAACATCTTAGTGCCTAAATCTTTTTTAATTAGGTTATTTCCTTAGGATATCATCCTAAAACTGGAGATACCAGGCAAAGGATATGAATGAACACCTTTACATTTCTTAATACATGCTGTAAAAATGACAGTATCCTTTATCTTTTTTTCCTGTCTTTCCTATGCAGTCTTATCCTGCCTGCAAAAGCCCTGAGCTGACCTCAAACCTCTTCAACATTTATGGGAAGAGCCCTCTGATTGTGAACTTCCTCCACAACTACTCCAGGCTGCAGCAGCATGGCAAAGATGTGTTGGTAGCCAGGAGGGAAAAAACCAAGGCCATCCCATATCCTTTCCTCTGCAGGCAGGGCACACATTACTTCAGACCCCTGCTTCCACTCCCAGAAGCAAGGGTGCAGGAAGAGGCATCCAGCCCTTAGCATAGTGTCTGTCACATAGCAGGTACCCATCGAGGGTAGCTATTGATATAAGCCTAAGGGTCAGAATCTTGCTCATTTTAATTCCAAATCTGTCTCATGAACTGGCTGTATGGAATCCTGGGCAAGTCAAATTTCCCTGTGTGCAAAATCTCCTCCTATTTACCACCAGGATGAACGGGCTAACTAGGTACTCTAACATGTTTTGCAATTCATTAATGCCTTCCAGATGCTCGCTGACACCAGACCATGTGTTGAATAGAAATTTTGGTGTCTAGGAGTGTGTTTCTTCTAGCACTCTGCTAACACGCACCCCTTCCCCAGACCCATCAGCAAATTCCTGGCCCCACTGGCATTTATCCTAAAGATTTGGTAAAAAGCTCAGGTCCTAAGAAAGTAGGTATGACATGTGTTGGTGTCCTGAGTCCCAGGAACTCAGTCCTGGACTCAGGAACCACTTCAACCGCTTACCAGCAAGTGACCTCAGGTAAGTTCCAGCTTCGCTCTGAGCCTCATTTTTTTATCTATAAAATGCGATAACAGTGCCAGCCTCATGGGGCTGTTAGGCAGAGTAAGGCACCACAGAGGTAAAGGCTTAGCACAGTGCCTGGCAAGTAACAAATGCTTGAATGTGACCTATCTGCATATAGCTACACATCAGGAGGAGCTTTCAGAATGATCTCAGTAACTCCTGCCCTAAAGCTTCTTATCATAAACTTATTTACATGTCTATAGGCAGAGAATAATGACAACTCATATTTCATAGTACTTTATTATTTATGAAGTTTTTCCCATATATCATCTCACTGTTTTGTAGACATTGTAGTGTAGTGGGGGGAGCCTGGGTTGGGAATACAGAGCCCTGGATTTGAGTCCCAGCTCAGCAACCCGCTGGCTTAAGATCTCATGTACACAGCTTCACCTCTGAGCTCAATGTCTTTCTCAGCTCCTTCCTAAAATAAAGATAATTATACCAAACCAATAGGGTTGCAACCAGGATTGGCTGACTTACATCTGACACTAAATAAATATTAGCTATCATTATTGTTATTAACATTAACTAAGGCAGGTATTATTATCCCTATTTTACAGATAAGGAAATGGGGACATAGAGGATGACATATCTTGTTGGAAGTCCTAAACTCAGGATAAGTGTGACCGAGATTCTGCCTGATTCAGAAGGAGTGGGAAGGGTGGGGAAGGCAGAGAGAAATTTTCGGCAGATAAATCATGAGATACAGAATGAGACCTTTGGCCTGAAAGGGAAGGGAAGTTGGAATCCCCATGTATTCACCACGATGATAATAGAGTAAGAATTTTAGATGAGAGTCTAAAAAAAGCATTTCCTAGCCCTTCCACCAGCAGGAGGAAAGAGGGGCTTATTATAAAATGGGAATGGCCTACCCATGGAGAGGATAACCTCTTGCTTTCTAAAGCTTGCCATGGTCAAAGACCAGGAAGAGTCATTTCCTGCTTAGATTTCAATGATCTCATCCAGAAACAAGGTCATTCTCCCCACAACTTGCTGTCCTATCCTCCCTCCTCCCCATGCACTAGGTGCATCCCACTAATAATGCTCAGTCAATGCCAACTGACAGTGTGGGGTTTCCCTTGACGATGAAAGCCACCGAGTCCAGCCTGACGTACGCTGACATCATCAGCCTGACCCTGAACAACATGAAGAAGTGGAGGGACAAATTCCACCAGATGAACCAGCTTCGCGGGAGTGAGTGGAATTATTTTGATAATTACCTAAAGGAACTGCAAGACAACTTCCTCAGGTATTTAAGGGGCATTAAGGACGTGGCACTGTTTCGGCATTTGGCTGTTGTAGCACACGCCATCGTGATTTTTCTCTGGGGAGCCGAGCCCTGTAACCGTCTAAGCACATTCAGCTTTCCTGTGCTCAGAATGCAAACTCCCTAATAATCACAATAAACCTTCCATTTTCATTCCATTGGCCAGAACTTAGTCCCATAGCCACACCTAGCTGTGGTACTAACAAAGCAAATGAATTTAGGGTTAATATTAAATTAATGTAGAATATTCAAGATTAAGTCTACAGTATATGTATTTCAGAAATATATAAGGACATCTTTGTTTCATGAAGACATCATTATCAGGTGAATTACGATAATGTCAGGAGAAACTTTGTAATTATGTGTTAGCAGTTCATTGCCAAATAAATATATTCACTTTTTGTTTGATAAGGTGTTATCAAGAAACTCAGCACACCTTCTATTACTAAAGCAATTCTCAAAGTTTTTTCACCAAAAAAAAAAAAAAAAAGATGGCCTTAAAACACACCTGTACTGTTAGACATCAGGGCAGGGTTACCCTTGGGGAGGAAGGGTATGACTGAGCAGGGGCACAGGGGGACCTCTGAGGGCTCTCAATGTTCTGTTTCTTAATCTGGGTGCTGATTACATGGGTATGGTCAGTACATGAAAATTCCTTGAGCTGCACATTTAGAGTGTATACTCTTTGGTATCTATGTTATACTTCAAGAACCTTTATAAAAATGGCAGTCATCTACATCTACTGGTTTACAGGACATAGAGAGCTTAGAGGACTCTGTCAAACCCCAGGAATGCCGTGAACCAATCCAGAATGGGAAATTCTGTACAACAAGTAACCTGGTTTCTTCAGCCCTGAAAAAGCAAGGAAAATAAGGGAAGAAGCAAAAGCTATTAGTATTTAGAAAACTTCTATCAGTTAAAACATTATTGGATCTTGACTTTAACAAACCAACTATCAAAAAATATTTATGAGATAATTGGAAAAATTTGAACTCTAATGGGTTTTAGATTATATTAAGTAATCCTTTTTAATGGTGTGTTCCTTTGTTTCTTTTTAGATATTATATTGGCTTAAAGAGACATAATGAAGTGTTTATGGATGAAATAACATGGTGTTTAGGATTTGCTTTAAAATAACCTATTTGGGGTGAGGAGAGGGGGCAAGGGGAATAATAAATGAGTCAAGATTAATGTTATGCTGATAACTATTGAAGCTAGATAATGGGTAAATGGTTTAAATATAAAGTCTCTTGTATATATTTTAAATTTTAATAAGGTGCATGCACACATGTGTGTGTGTGTCATGGTGACCATAACAACAAAAAGTGACAAATGCCCACATAGAATATTACTTGTAGGTGGGCTAGAACTCCTTTGGGGCATTAGTTAGCATTATTTTCCTAAAACAGAGTATCTGTTAGGAGCACTGGCATTCAAGTTGGACAGACAAAACTCCAGTTAGAGTTATGAACACTGTAAGAATTCTTAATACATGGAAGACAGAGCTAATTCTGTGGGAACTAGGTGCATCATTTAGCCTGTGTGAGGCTTGATACCTCATCTGTAAAACAGGGCACTACTCACAGAGTAGTTGTGGGTGGAAGGAGATGTCTAGCTCTGGGCCTGGCTCAAAGGAAGTGCTCAGTAATTAATGACTGTTAAGAGTTAATACATGTGACCCCGTACCATAAAAACCACACGGTCCAAAGCAGAACAAGGACTTGGAGTTGCAGAATTTAGAGCTGGAGGGGTCTGAGGCAACCCCCTTCGGAAAGGCGAGCCAGCAGATGTTTTGCAGGGGTCCCTGCTCTAGGTGGAGGATGAGCCTAGTTTGTACACGCAGATGGAGCTGTACAACAAAGGGACAGGGTCAGGTGCGGCTGAAGAATTTAGCTTTCTTGTGGGTCCAGAGCCTTGATCTTCAAAGTTGTTTAGGGTCAGAGCACAAACAGTTCAAAATACTGTTCGCAGAACTCTGTTGTATTTCACTACATGATTCTGTCAAACAAGCTAAAGATGCTTTTACTAGTGGAAAATAGGAGCCTAAGACATTTGTACACTTACACATCTCAAGAAATGACAATATAGAAAATATAGCCATGAAATTACATCCAAGTTTTCCTGTTAGAATATGCCATCGTAACAAGGACAAATGGAGGTGGCTGCTTGTTCATTGTCTCTCCCTTGCAAGCAGAAGCAGGCTCCAAAAGGTTAAGAAAAAGTTGTGGTAGACAGATCCCCAAAATAAGAAAGTTTTGCCAGCACAGGAAAATAAGAAACTTTTTCCTTGACTTGGGAAAAGACCCACACTGTGGCATAATCATCGGTCTAGGCCAAGCTGAATGCTAGTTTTTTAATACCGGTGTTTCTAAATCGATGTTAGAACAGCAGAGAAGTATATGACAGCATCTTACGCACTTGGCATATACTTACTGCTATTTTGTCTACCTGGAACTTGCTTCTTCATCAAGTAAATACCTACTCACGTTTCAAAAGTCAGTTGGTCTATTACCTGATTCAGCATTTCTATTGTGTATCCCAAGCTTATCTGAACACATGCCACTGAAAACCCCCTATAATAACACCACCAGCAACAGATGCCCCCTGAGCACTTCCTGCATCTCAGACACTGTGCTAACCTTTGACCTGTGGCGACTCAGTTAATCTTCAGTACAACGTTAGGTTCTATCTGTGTTGAGATGAGTACACTGGCATAGAGAAGTTCAGTAAATTGCCCAATGTCACACAGCAAGTGGCAGGGCCCCAATTTGAATTCAGCTTGCCTTTAGCGCTCAGCTTCCTCTCAATAATTGACTTCCTCACCTGTCTTCCTGATTTGAGTATGTGTTCCTTGAGTTCAGGGACCCCATTTTATTCCTCTCCGTGTGTCCCAGGGCTGGTACGATCCCTGGCACACAGCAGGGGCTCCATGGCTGAGCTGCTGTGGTCAGCTCTCTGCTTCAGTCCGTTGCTCTTGACAGAAGTAATGAACGAATTTGTAAATATTTGTCTCTCTTTACATATGAAGATAGGAGTGAAAAAATCATGCTGACTCTAGTGTTTTTACGTTTTTGTCTTTGTGATCACCCCGCAGGGAGGTAAAGAGTATAGATCAAAGAGCAAGAGATAAAAAAAAGGCAGACCATGTATTCCTCCCACCGTCACCCCTCATTAAGGAATCCCCTGAAGAGAAGTCTAGAGGAAGCCATCAGAATGAGATTGTGTTTCTTTCAAGGTTTGTTCTAACAAGGACATGGAGAAGTAGAAATATAAATACTGTAAGAATTCTTAAACATGGAAAACAGCACCTAAAAGTTCACTTGCTTTTATGTGTTACTTCTCATTTTACTTTTATTACTATTTATTATTATTAATGGTAGTAGTAAGACCTTCCAATGACTTTGTACTTCCTTTGTGCTAAGCAGTGTACTTTATGGATTGTATAACTCAGAGCTCTTTTGTGGCAAGTGCCGGGAAACCAGCTCAAACTAGCTGAAGCAGAAGGCGTAGGTAAATGAATGCTAGTTTTTTAATACCGGTGTTTCTAAATCGATGTTAGAACAGCAGAGAAGTATATGACAGCATCTTACGCACTTGGCATATACTTACTGCTATTTTGTCTACCTGGAACTTGCTTCTTCATCAAGTAAATACCTACTCACGTTTCAAAAGTCAGTTGGTCTATTACCTGATTCAACATTTCTATTGTGTATCCCAAGCTTATCTGAACACATGCCACTGAAAACCCCCTATAATAACACCACCAGCAACAGATGCCCCCTGAGCACTTCCTGCATCTCAGACACTGTGCTAACCTTTGACCTGTGGCGACTCAGTTAATCTTCAGTACAACGTTAGGTTCTATCTGTGTTGAGATGAGTACACTGGCATAGAGAAGTTCAGTAAATTGCCCAATGTCACACAGCAAGTGGCAGGGCCCCAATTTGAATTCAGCTTGCCTTTAGCGCTCAGCTTCCTCTCAATAATTGACTTCCTCACCTGTCTTCCTGATTTGAGTATGTGTTCCTTGAGTTCAGGGACCCCATTTTATTCCTCTCCGTGTGTCCCAGGGCTGGTACGATCCCTGGCACACAGCAGGGGCTCCATGGCTGAGCTGCTGTGGTCAGCTCTCTGCTTCAGTCCGTTGCTCTTGACAGAAGTAATGAACGAATTTGTAAATATTTGTCTCTCTTTACATATGAAGATAGGAGTGAAAAAATCATGCTGACTCTAGTGTTTTTACGTTTTTGTCTTTGTGATCACCCCGCAGGGAGGTAAAGAGTATAGATCAAAGAGCAAGAGATAAAAAAAAGGCAGACCATGTATTCCTCCCACCGTCACCCCTCATTAAGGAATCCCCTGAAGAGAAGTCTAGAGGAAGCCATCAGAATGAGATTGTGTTTCTTTCAAGGTTTGTTCTAACAAGGACATGGAGAAGTAGAAATATAAATACTGTAAGAATTCTTAAACATGGAAAACAGCACCTAAAAGTTCACTTGCTTTTATGTGTTACTTCTCATTTTACTTTTATTACTATTTATTATTATTAATGGTAGTAGTAAGACCTTCCAATGACTTTGTACTTCCTTTGTGCTAAGCAGTGTACTTTATGGATTGTATAACTCAGAGCTCTTTTGTGGCAAGTGCCGGGAAACCAGCTCAAACTAGCTGAAGCAGAAGGCGTAGGTAACTAGGAAGGCCACACACAAGCGAGCCGCAGGCGTGCTGGACCCAAGGGTTCAGTGATATTTTCAGGAGTGCGCTCTTGCTGGCTTTCTCTAATTCTCTCCCCTTTTCTCCCCTTTCCCTCTGAGGATTAGCTAGTTTTTCAAGCTGCCAGGCAGTCCCAAGTCTATGACCTTATTACAGTATATGACCTAAAGGGAAAGAGACACCATCTCCAAGCCTCATAAAAGTATCTGATGGCTCTGCTTGAGTCATCTACCCCACTTTTTGTCTGGACCAATACCATGTTCAGGAAGAAACACAATATGGCTACGATTAGCTAGGCCTGAGTGTCCTTACAGCCTGAGAGAGCAGGGTACAGTTAATGACATGGGGTAGAATGAAGACAACATGCCTACTTTATTTGTATCTAATCAAAACCCTGTTTGATATCATCATTCCCATTTTACTGAATAGAAAATAGGCACAGAAAAGCCAAGTAAACCCTGACTGAAGACCTCCTATGCCAGGTACTAAGGATACAAAGAAATAAAAAATGGAAAGATACTGTCCTCAAGGGCTCACAGCTGAGAAGGAGGAAAAAGATATGTAAATAGATAACATGCAACAAGTTACATAGGTCCTAAGAGAGGACTTCAAAAGGGAACACAGTAGGAAGCAGCCAGTTCTTGTTTGCCAGGCAAGGGGGAGGGGAAGAATGAGCTGACCTTCTAGTCAGAAAGCTCCTCAAGCCAGTTTGCAGAGCTACCAGCTCACCATCGGAACTGGCTGGTCAGGAAGTCTGGGAGAGTTGAGGACAGAATGGAGGGGTTCTCACATGTCACATCTTCTGGATTCTGCTGTCCTGTAGCCCATAGGCAGCCATCCAAATGTTGCCAGTTAACTGCACCTGGGGAGGTCTCTCCCTGGGCACTAACTGAAACTCAACCCAAACAGGGGAGAATTCTTGACTCTGATTGACAATTCATGAACAGGTCAGATGAGTGTAGGTAAGGAAGAATTCATTCAAGTGAGAGTAGTAGTGAATGGCAGGAGCCATGCAGGCAGCAGAGACCAGGAAGAACAGAGGGAGGAAGGGAAACTCATTGAACTCCTGCTCAGCACAGGGTAAATCCCTTGCCAGCTCCTGACGACAGGGTCACCTGCATCCAGTGTCCCCTTGAATCTGCATGGCGTGGGAACTAAGTCCCTACCACCCCAGGATTTGGGGGAGCTGCAGAGCACTGGATGGAGTGAGATTATATTCTGAGAACTTCCCAAAGGCAGAGGAAGGAGATTTGGGGGCAGGCCCTAAAGAGCATGACTGTACAGCTGCAGTCCTGTCCGGGTCACCCGGGCACTGGGAACAGGCAAGCCCAAATCAGGGATCTTAGTAGCCCTTCCCTACCTGCCTGAAGTAGGACAGAGTGAAGACTTGTGTTTAAGTTTACAAAGCTGAATGAAATACTGAAGTAACAAAAATACCACTGGGAAAAAGGGTCTCATTAATCTCCCAAGAGGCTTGGAAGAGCATGGAGACAAAACACAGTAATTTGAGCAGCAAGAAGGCTTTATTTAAGGCAAAGAACACACTCAAAGAAAGCGGGGTGTGGGCAGCCTCCAAGAGGAGGTGCCGTGAAAGGCTTAGGATTCATATCTTCTAAGGATTTCAAGAACTGGGTAAAGGACCAAGGGAACGTAGGCTTGACATGTGGTCTCATAATGTCTTTCTTCAGTGAGAAGCATTATATCACCATCCATAGTCAGTCCTCTAGATATTCTATGGAATTTATTGATCCTGTTCACTTCCAAGATAGTGGTTACCCTCAAGCAGTGGAAATAGGTCATTTAGAACTGCTTGCCCTGCCTTAAGATATGGTTGGTTGGTGGCTAAACCATAAAATATGTTAGGAATCTTCCCTCCTAACTCCCTGGTTTTTAAAATGGAATCTTAGCCTTAAGGTGGAATCCCTCAGTCTTGCTATACTCTTTAAATCTTGACATTTTCGTCATAGGCAGGAAAAATTAATCATCATGTTTGTCCCATGTTTCTGCCTGCTCTACCTCTCAAGAGTCTACGCTACAGAAATTACAATTTTGAATTCTGAAACTTACAACCATTATTCTAAATAACATGCTAACATATATATTTCTTTATTTTTTTTCATTTTAGACATTATCTGTTGATAATTTTTTTCCAGATTGTTAAGAGCTATCAAAACCCAAGTGGCGTTTTTTGTCATATTCTCATACATAGTATCCTGTAAACTATGTATATTCCATTAATATATTCTGTTAGATAACGTAATCATGACACGACAAACGCAGTTTGCTGTTTGTTCTTTTTCTCCTCATTGCAAACAGATGCAGACTCTGAAGGGTTAAGAAAAAGTTGTGGTGGAAGATCCTGCAAGTGAGAATATAGTGTCCTAATTTTTTCCTTTTTAAAAAATCTTGTAGTTCTCCTTCTCAAGCCCTCGTTCTCCTCCAATCTGGACTGGGGTGTTCTAGGTTTGTGCACAGAACTGAGCTTTTTTCACCATCATCCTAGGACTTTCCTTTGTGAACTTTACTCTTTTGGAGTTTCTGGTTCCCAGGTCACATGTCTTTCATGTTTTATTTCCTCATTTTGCTGGAGCACATCTTCTACTAGTTCTTGAAGAAAAGGTATTGAGAAGATTTTTTAGTTTTTACAAGTCCAGCATGGCTTTGCTCTTGATTAATATTTAGCAAATGTTTTACTGGGACTAAAATTCTAAATTAAGAGCCAATTTACCACAGACTTTTGAAAAAAAATTTTTATCCTACCTTCTAATTTTGTTATTGAAAAGTCTGATGGCATTCTGATTCATATGGCTTTGTATGTTACCTTTTTCCCTCATGGAAGGTTTTCAGATACTGTCTTCAGTATTCTGAATTTTACAATTACATGCTTTGGTATAAATCTTTTTCTCAATATGTTTCATTAGGGTTGGGTAACCTCTCAGACTTCAAAGTAGAGTTCTCTAATTCTGACAATTTTTCTTTTTATTTATTTGATAATTTCCTTCCTTTCATTTTCCTAGCTCTGTAGAACTATTATACTCAGTTTTGGACCTCCTGGACTTATTCTCTGATTTTCTTATCTTTTTTTTTTTTCATTAAGGTATCATTGATATACAATCTTCTGAAGGTTTCACATGAGCAACACTGTGGTGACTATATTCCCCCATATTATCAAGTCCTCACCCCACACCCCATTGCAGTCACTGTCCCATCAGTGTCATAAGTTGCTGTAGAGTCACTACTTGTCTTCTTCGTGCTATATATACTGCCTTCCCTGTGCACCCCCTACATAATGTGTGCTAATCATAATGCCCCCAAATCCCCTTCTCCCTCCCTCCCTCCCCACCCCCTTCCCTTTGGTAACTGCTAGTCCCTTCTTGGAGTCTGTGAGTCTGCTGCTGTTTTGTTCCTTCAATTTTGCTTTGTTGTTATACTCCACAAATGAGGGAAATCATTCGGCACTTGTCTTTCTCTGCCTGTCTTGTTTCACTGAGCATAAAATCCTCCAGCTCCATCCATGTTGTTGCTTATGGCTGAATAGTATTCCACTGTGTATATGTACCACCTCTTCTTTATCCATTCATCTACTGATGGACACTTAGGCTGCTTCCATATCTTGGCTGTTGTAAATAGTGCTGCGATAAACATAGGGGTGTATATGTCTTTTCGAATCTGAATAGTTGTATTCTTTGGGTAAGTTCCAAGGAGTGGGATTCCTGGGCCAAAGGGTATTTCTATTTTTAGTTTTTTGAGGAACCTCCATTTTGCTTTCCACAATGGTTGAATTAGTTTACATTCCCACCAGCAGTGTAGGAGGGTTCCCCTTTCTCCACATCCATCCTTGCCAGCATTTCTTGTTCTTAGTCTTTCTGATGCTGGCCATTCTTACTGGTGTGAGGTGGTATCTCATTGTGGTTTTAATTTGCATTTCCCTGATGGTTAGTGAGGTGGAGCATCTTTTCATGCGCCTGTTGGCCATCTGAATTTCTTCTTTGGAGAACTGTCTCTTTATGTCCTCTGCCCATTTTTTAATTGGGTTTCCTTTATTTTTTAATGTCCATGTAATCTGTAATAAGTCCCCTCTTTCATTTCTGATATTAGCAATTTGTGTCCTCAATTTTTTTTCTTTAGTTAGCTAGACTAGAGGCTTATCAGTTTTACTAATATTTTCAAAGAATCAGCTTTTTGTTTGATTTTCTCTATTGGTGTTCTATTTTCAATTTAATTAATTTCTGTTCTAATTTTTATTATTTCTTTTCTTTTGCTTACTTTGGACTTAATTTGCACTTTATTTTATCTAGATTCCTAAGGTAGAAACTTAGATGATTGATTTTAGAGTTTTCTTCTTTTCTAATATACACATATAATGCTATAAATTTCCATCTAAGCACTGCTTTCACTGCATCCATAAGTTGTGTTTTCACTTTCATTTAGCTTAAAATACTTCGAAATTTCTGTTGAGATTTGTTCTTTGGCCCATGTATTATTTAGAAATATGTTGTTTAATCTCCAATTATTTGGGGATTTTCCAGTTATCTTTCTGTTAATGACTTCTAGTTTGATTCCATTTGGTCTGGGAGCCGACTGTGTGTGATTTCTATTTTTTTTTAAGTTTGTTAAGGTATATTTTATGGCTATCTTGATGAATGTTACACATGAGTTTGAGGAGAATGTGTATTCTGCTATTTTTGGGTGATGTAATTTATAGATGTCATGTATATTCAGTTGATTGATGGTGTTGTTGAGTTCAACTATGTCTACTAATTTTCTGACTGCTGGATCTGTCTACTTATTCTCCTTGCAGTTCAATCACTATTTGCTTCATGTAGTTTGATACTCTGTTGTTAGGTACATACACATTGAAAATTATTATATCTTCTTGGAGAACTGACCCCTTTATCATTATACAATGCCCTTCTTTATCCTTGATAATTATCCTCACTCTGAAGTCTGCTCTGTCTGAAGTTAATATAGCTAGTCTTGCTTTCTTTTGATTACTGTTAGCCTAGTATATTTTTCTCCACCCATTTACTTTAGTCTATAACCACATTCTCTTTTAAGGAACATTCCCAGAAGTCTCAAACAACATTTTCTTACATCTCATTGCTAGAATATGATACATGGCTCTCGTACTACATGGCTTCTTCCTTTTCAATTAATTATTTTTAAAAACATTTTAAATGCTCTTCTATAATTATATTATTATTACTTTATAATAATTCTGAGGCATAATTTGCCACAAATTTGCTCAATTTAAGTGTTCGATTCAATGATTTTGTAGTAAATTTAGAGTTTTGCAACAATTACTACAATCCAGTTTTAGAATTTTTTCGTCACCTCAGAAAGATCCCTCATGCCCATTTGTAGTCAACCCCCTCCCTTTTTAATAGCCTCCCTGCAAATACCGTATAAATGGTACCATTTTATAGGGCCAGATATTTAGTCACATGGTATTGTTAGTTTCAAAGGAGGCTAGGAAATGTATTTTTTGTTTTTAGTCTGGTTGTACTGACATATTAAACAAAAACTGGCTCCATTGCTAAGGAAAAAGAGAGTGGATGGTGGGTTGGTCACTAACCATCTCTATTACAGATAGATAGATGGCATTATACTCTCCCTTTTAGAGATGAAGAAACCAGAGCTTAATGAGTTGAGAAATTTACCCTAGGAAACCTTCCCATCTTAAACCTTCCAATTTAAAATTTCCTTTGAACCAGAGAAAGACCACAAGGTTTTGATAATAACGGTTTAGCTTAGGACCCACGTGTGTGATCCGTGGAATTTTGTGGGATCAGTTGTGACTCATTAACAGTCTTTCTGATATCCACCTTCTATTCTTAGAAATATAAAAAGCCAACTCTACTTTACCAATATTATTATTATTCCCTCAGACTTCATTATCCTTCAACTACATCTTAACCTAGCTAACCCCTAGCTGACCCTTAAACCCCACTCAGACATCACCCCCAGGAAGTCTTCCCTGACTTGCCTTCTCAGGGTACCCGTTATGTGCCCTGTGCTTTCCTGTTTACATCCCACAGAATATAGCCTACTCTAGTCACAGATTTGCTTGTCCATTTCCCTAGATTGAAAGTTTGTCCTTGAGGAAAGGATCTCACCCTAGATGACCTTGTTTTCCCAGGGCCTAACTCAGTGCCTGGCACACAATAGATCCTCAGTCCTTGCTGTGTGTTCAGCACTCTGCTTCAGTAATTTGCTATTGCCAGTGCTATTGATTGGTTCGTAAACTCTTTCACTACCTATTCAGACTCCAGTGAAACCTTTGAAGGAATCACAGTAATATCTGAGCTGATTTTTGTTGATGCCTTTTTTTGTTTCCCACACAGGAAGGGAAAGAAGGAGAGGGAAAGTAAAGGGAGACAGAAGTTGAACTGCTCTCCCTTCTCACATTCAAGCTCTGGTGAATTATCTTCCCTGGAACTAGGAAGTTCCTGCAGAATCTGTGATATTTCTGCTACCAGGTAGGGTAGAACAACAACAGAAGAAAAAGGAAATTGTGACTAAAGACTGAGAAATAGAAATAACTATTCCCAGGATAAGGAAAGCAACATTCCATTGGGGCAGCCAATATGGAAAGCAGTATGGAGGTTCCTCAAAACAATAAAAATAGAAATACCATATGACCTAGTAATTCTACTTCTAGAAATTTACCCAAAGAAAATAAAATCCCCAATTTAAAAAGATATATGCACCCCTATGTTTATTGCCACATCATTTACAGTAGCCAAGATATGAAAGCAACCAAAGTGCCCATCAATAGATAAATGGAGAAAGAAGATGTGGTACATAGACACAGTGGAATATTGTTCAGCCATAAAAAAGAAAGAAATCCTGCCATTTGTATCAATATCAGTGAACCTAGAGGGTATTATGCTAAGTGAAATAAGCTAGGCAGAGAAAGACAAATACCATATGATTTCACTTATTTATGGAATCTAAAAACAAAACAAAACAAAACGAAGTGAATAAAATAGCAATAGGCTCATAGATACCGAGAAGTGACTGGCGGTTACCATGGAGGAGGAGTTGGTGTGGGTGGGTGGGGAAGTTGAGGGGGATAAAAGGGCATGAAAATGCTCAATCATAATATAAGTTGGTTACAGGGATGGTAGGACAGCATGGAGAATATAGCCAGAGATTCTGTAATATCTCCCTGTGTTGACAGATAGTAACTGCACTAGTAGGGATGAGGATTTAAAAATATGGGTAACTGTTGAACCACTATGTTGTACACTTGAAATCAACAAAAGATTGTATATCAATGATACTTAAATTTTAAAAAAAGTAAGAGAAAAAAAAGATTCCATTATATTTTTCCTAGGCGGAGTGAAAAGCAAGAGGGGGATGGGGAGTTTTTACTTGGGTCACTACATTTATTCATGCATTTATTCTTTTGCCCATTATTTTACTTAAAATATTATAACAATGTTCATTATAATACAATAATAATGGCTACCTTTTATTAACTCTTTGCTTTGTGCCAAGCATTAAGTTAAACATGTTATAAACAAGACCTCATTTTACCCTTCACAATAGCCATATGAAGTAGAGATTCCTCTGCATTTTATATAACAGCAGGTCCAGGTTTGGAGAGGTTTCAAAAGCTCCTTGCAGTAGACACTAGGTAAATAACAGTAGCTAACACACACTCCCTGTTTGCAAGGGGCTGACAGTCTGGTAGAGAGAAGACAGATATGTCAACCAAAAATGCCATAAATTCTAGAGGTGCTGTTAGACAAAGGGGACAAAGAATGCAGTGGCCTAAGAGCCATGCAGAAACTTTACAGAGGTGGTGTCCCTTGCCCTGAGCCTAGAAAAGATATGAAGATGTTTGCCACACAGAAGGAGGGGGCTGAGACAAGAGGCCAGCATTCTCAGGGGGTGGAGCAATGGAGGCAAAAAGAGGCAGGAAGTAGCATGGCAAGAGGCCAAGGAAGTGTGTGAAGGCTTTCAGGAGAGCTGAGCCTGGAGAAGATGCCAGAAGATCACGAAGGGATTACTTCATGAAGCACCTTATTTTCTAAGTTGTGGGGAGCTAATGAAAGATATTAAAAAGAGGAACCACATGGTCATATTTCAATTTTTCAAAGTCCTGATGGCAGATGGTAGGCTTCATGAAGGAAGTATATTGTATTTGTTTGAGATTTGCAAAGTCTCCCACAAATATTTACCTCTGTGTGAAACCCTGGCTATAGCTCTAGACCAACAGTCCCTAAGCTTTCTTGATCTTGTATCTCTCTCAGTAAAACATCTATGAGAACTCAGCCCCTAATAATATATTATTCAGAAATCATATATGTAATTATATATTAATATAATATATACATCACAAAACACACAGAAAAATAGAAATTAAAAGGACGAGATTAAAAAAGTATAGAAAGAAACTCCTTGGGGATAAAGCAGCACAAAAATCTCAATCATAATATAAGTTGGTCATGGGATGGAAAGTGCATGGAATGTAGTCAGTGGTTCTGTAACATCTTTCTATGGTGATAATAATTGGAATGAGGATTTAATATGTATATAACTGTTGGACCACTGTGTTGTATACTTGAAACCAGTATAATATTGTATACAACTGTTCTTGAATTTAAAAAATACACTCCAAAAAAATAGAGAGAAACTCCAGTTATCTTCTCCCCATCATGGATCCATCATGTAGTGGGGAAGATACCTCTGGACAAGCCCCAGGTAAAAATTAACCAGGTAAAGGAGTTACTTTTAGTTTTCCCCACAGGAACAGATGTAAGTAAAAGTATGTAAGAGTAGTAAGAGCTTTGATTCTAAAAAGATATGGGGTTTTGAATCTTTGCCCTGCACCCTCTGTGACTTTAGGTCAAGGTACCTAAGTTCTCTCGGCCTGTTTCTTTGGCATAAAAAAATGCAGATGGTTGTTATGTGTATAAGATCTAACCCATATAAAGAGGCTGGCACAGAACCTGTCAATAATTACTAGGCATTATGAGAGTGTTTCCATAAAGCTTCTCACATTCTTTGATTCAGGAAGCCCCAAGAGTTTCACGTTCAGACAGAGCATAGCCTGGGTCCAAAAACAATCCTCTAGACACCTCTAGAGGTGTTAAGACTGGTGACCAAAGAATGTTAGGAGAATGTTAGGAAGAGCAGACTTGCTCTTCCCATTACAAATACTAAAAGGGAAATTGAGAGAAGAGGTCTTTGCCCTATAAGCATATTCCATCAGTTACCCCATTAAAGGCTCAGAACAGTCCAGTGAGCTAAATTTTATTTTTCTCCTTTTTCAAAGGAGGCAATTAAGGCTCACTTGAGTCAAGGTGCAGACTCTCCACAGGTCTCTTTCAGAAATCCATACTACATCATGGTACTCCTTTGCTTAAAACCTATAGTTTCCCCTCATCCCCTAGGGATCCTAGGGAATAAAACCCAAACTTTTAGATGTGGGGCCTTCATGAGGTGGCCCCTGCATACCTCTCCCATCTCTTCTCTCTCCCCACCTCCACTCCTAACTGCCTCTCACGCCATACTGAGCCCCTGCAGCTGCACAAAGAGGCCAAACCTTTCCTGCCTCTAGGCCTTGCTTGGCACAGGCTTCTTCCCCTGGAGGAAATGCAAGTCTCCATCCCAGCCCTGGCCTCCTTCCAAGCCAGCTCCTGCTGCTTCCGCAGAGGCGGTGCAGATGAGGTCTCCTCTCCAGGAAGCTTTCTGACACATACACAGAAGATCAGGGCTAAATGCTTCTCAAAACTCTCAGACCTTTTATAACATGAAAACTCACTGATCCCAAAGCAGTGCAAGGAACTGTTGGGGGTTGAGTTCATTCTCCTTGGTCCTTGTCCCCACCACAACAAAGAATTGAAAGGTAGAGACACAGTAGTGAAGCAGGATGAAGTTTTATTCGAATACACTCCAGAGGAGCAGGCTAGAGTCAAAGTAGATAAAGGCAGGTTTATTTGATTACCCTCCAAGGGAGGAGTGGGCCAGAGTCAAGATAGACAAAGGCAGGCTGCTTACTGTGAGGCTTCTTTTTATAGGTTTTTTGGCAAGGGAGAGAAGACCTTGATTGACATTCTTTGGCTTGGGGGCTTGATCTGATTGGAGGACTGAAGGCATGAGCTGCACTCTGACATTTTTATCTGGGGAATTTTTGTCATCTGTGCCCTTTAAGTCACTCTCAGTCCCTGTGGCTTCATTTAATTAATCCTCTGAGTTATTTCTGGCTCTCTGGCTTTATCTGATTAACTCCCTGAGTTCTTGATGGGCCCCACCCTCTTTTCACCCCACTCATACCTGTCTTTCTGCCAACTGAATACATTGGAACACTCTGGACTGGGAGGTTTGGGGCAGACCCATTTTGGAGAAAGTGTCCAGCAGTGGTTTCACAGTGTGGGTAAAATTGCATATGTCCAGAATGTCTTGCCTGGCCTTAGTGCATCTACATATACAGTTTATCTCCAGATTATCCTGTGGTTGTATTAATTTCCTCCTAGTACATTCAGACACTTTACATAGTCTATCTATTTCCCCCTCACTCACCAACCTTCTGACCTGCCTCACTCTGGATGATTCCTAGGCTCTGTATAATCCTGGAATTCCTTTCCTCATTCTCTGTATCTCACTGGCTTTCTAACCTATATGTGTTTATGGTTCATCCACAGAGAGGTTACCAAGAAGTCAAAACCAATAAAGAAAAAGGAAATATGTCTCTCACTTTCCAGCTCACTTGGATGAACTCTTGTCCAAGAATTGGAAGAACTTGTCAGATGAAGCTTGCATGTATTTGTTTTAATCTAAAATAGAAGCAAGAAACAACAAAAAAATAATAATATTGCAACACATTTAGTCATTCTTAGTTCATGGGACAAAGAATTTTAAAGCTTACTCCTACCCTAGGCGAAAGTCAGGATTTCAATTGAAGTTAAGTCACCTCATTCATTCATGCATTTACTTACTAATTCCTTCATTCACTTGTTTATTAATAATAACACTACAGAATATATACTGTTGTATAACATAGTAATAGTAATGATAGGAGACATCATTTATTGAGTACTTACTATGTGCTGAATATTCTGTTAAGTCCTTTTTTAGGTATATCTCAGTTAACCCTCCTGGCAGTTCCCTTCCCGAAGTGGATATTTTTACCTCCATTTCTCCTAGGAGGACACTAGGGCTTGGAGAGATTGAGTAAGCATTTGCTAGGTGTCTATTTGTACCATGCCTGTACCAGGCCCTGTGAATACAGAGATGAATAAAGACATAGTCTTTGTCTTCAAGGGATGCACAGTCTGGAAGACCAGGTAGGATGTATAACCAATAAATGCATTAACACTTTGCTGGAGATCAATGTGGAATCTAAGAAAAGCCAAGTCAAAAGAGAGTCTCTGAGGCTCGTAGGTACAGGGACCAGTGTGTGGAAGGACCTGCAGCTCAGCTGAGGGGCTTGGCCTTTATCATTTGGGCCTCAGGGCGCAAAGTGAGGAGGTCTGTATTAGAACAGCCTGCCTGGCACAGCCGAGGGAAAAGAAAGAAAACAGATAATGGCTATCTGCCTGAATCAAGAAGCAAGTAAGTACATTCTTGGGACCTATAGTGTCTCCCACAGATAGGCGTCTTCACTTGAACCCTGAGTGTGACTCTCGGTGACCCCCTTGGAAAATATTACCCAGATAAGTGGATGGAGGAAGGCTAATAAAGGAGTTCAAACAGA